GTTGATTTCTTGAATCATCCCTAGAAATCAAGACACTTAGGACATCCACTACTAAGGTGAAGAGGAAAACTGACAAAGGGTTTCCTTGTCTAAGGCCCCTCTTTGCAGGAAAGAAGTCCCTAGCTACTCCATTCACTAAGATTGATAAGTGACGAGGTAATACAACCCTTCATCCACTTACACCATCTCTCCCCAAAGCCTCTATTCCTCAACACTTCTAGCAAGAAATCCCAATCCACCAAATCATAAGCCTTTTCTAGGTCAAGTTTACAAATCCGACCCTTTTCTCCTTTTCTTTTTGTGTAATCCACACTTCTATTGGCTATTAAAATCTGATCGATAATTTGTCTCCCTTTCACAAATCCGACAATTTGATTCGATGAGATTAAGGGAGGACTTTCTTGAGTCTTAGTGCAAGAACTTTAGAAATGATCTTATACAAACTCCTCAGGTTGATAGGTCTAAAGTCCTTGGGCTGAACTGCAGGCACCTTCTTAGGGATCAAAACTATGAAAGTAGCATTCACACCCGTGTTTATTTTTCCTCTTTCAAAGAATTCCAAGAAAACCTCCACTAGGTCATCACCTAAGATATCCCAACAGTCTTGATAGAAAGCCATAGTGAATCCATCCGGGCCTAGGGCTTTTGATATTTCCATAGAGAAAACTGTCTCCTTTATTTCTTGAACCTCAAAACGGTCTTTCCAGGGGTTCCAACAATTCCATTTCTCCAACATGCCACTCAAAGTCGGTTAGAGTCTCTCTTACTCTACTGGGGCTGTCATAAATGGATTTAAAATGCTCCACAAAAGCTTTTGCAATCTCTTCCTCTCTTGTAAGCACTGCCCCATTTCAATTCCAAACTTTCAACTATGTTCTTCCTCTTTCTTCCACTTGCCAAACTATGGAAAAATCTTGTATGACCTTCTCCTTACCACTTGCATCTTGATTTTTGTCTTTAGCTTATCTCTTCTTTTCTGAGAATTTCCTCCAAATCCTGTTTTAACTTCCACCTCTCTTCCCTTTTTTCAAGCCTCAATTCTCTCTCTGCCTCAGCAGCATCAAGTTCTTGAATCCTTTTAATAATACCCTTCTTTCTATTTTCAATTCTACCAAACTCTTCTTTTTTCCATGCTTTGGTCCTGGCTTTTAGCTTTTGTAATTTCTTATAAAATCTATATCTCTTCCATCTAAACACCACTTGATCCTCTTCCCACCATTCTTTCACTTTCTTTTGAAAGTTAGGATGTAACAGCCACATGTTTTCAAATCTGAAAGGGCAAGGTCTTCCTCCTAGTCTTTCTTGAGATAATCTAACTGGACAATGATTTAACGTAGGTCTAGGTAGTGCCCTCGTCACCAAACCACCCATACTTCCTCCAAATTTGAAGAGAATAAAAATCTGTCTAATTTACAACCAAGTGGTTCTTCCTGAAAATTAGACCAGGTAAAATCAACTTGCACCAACGACAACTCCCTTAATTCAAAAGAATCCACAAAATAGTTGTCTCATACTTGAGGTGATCCTATGGTTGGGGTTATTTGTTTCAGTGACAAACCTAATGACATTAAAATCCCCTCCCAAGCACCACGGACCCTCCCACAATCCCCTTATAGCTGCTAATTCCTCCCAAAACTCAACCCTTTCTCTATACGAATTTGGCCCATAAACATTTGTTAAAGCCCATTCTAGTCCATCAACTCTTCTTCTGAATTTCACTGTAACCGTATAGTTACGAATTAATTCTTCTGTACAGTCCAATCCTCGTTTTTCTAAATTGTCAAAATACCCCCTGAGGCCCCCCAAGACTGTGCAAAAGCCCAACTCAGTCCTCTAGCCGACCAAATACTTCTCACCCATCTCCTATCCACCTCTGATAGTTTTGATTCCTAAATCAACACAACATCTGGCTTTTCTTTTCTGAGCATTTCCCTTATCACTCTTCTCTTCTTGGAACTCCCCAATACTTCTCACCTTTCTTTCTCTCTCACTTTTTCTTATTTTTTTTATCAGTTTTGTATCAGATTTGAAGGACAGACTCACATCTGACATTAATCCACGCCATAGTGTTTTAAGGCATGTCTCAGTTCAGTCCACACTATAGTGTGGATTAACTGGGCTACGGTGGATGCATTCAATTTTCTATACTTCTATAGTAAGATACTTAATTCAAAGTTTTGTTTGACAAAGTAAACACACTGTCCACGGTTCCATGCCACAATATTAGAATGCTTTGAGAGGTTGTGGTGTGTTTCAACCATGCCATGGTGGTGTCCAATAGACTAAAATGATCCACGTTTTATTGAGCCAAAGTACCGAATGTAGTGTCACATGCTGTCCCATTCACCAAAATAGAGAACAAAGGGGTGGTAATGCAAACCTTCATCTAGTTTCTTCATTTAGAGCCAAAATTTGTCCATCTAATAACATAATTTAAAAAGTTCCAGTTTACCTTATCGTGGGCCTTTTCTATATCCACCTTACACATCTAACCAACTGCCCTTCCACTCAGTCTAGAGTCAATCAGCTCATTTGCTACCAAAATCCCATCCACCATTAGTCTTCCTTTTATAAAAGTACCTCGACATTTAGAAATGATGCCACCTAAGACATTTTTCAACCTTCTTGCCAACACCTTGACAATAACTTTATGTATGCTTCCAATGAGACTAATTGGCCTGCAGTCCTTTAATTCTACCACCCTTTTTTCTTAGAGATGAGTGATGTACGATGAATTTAAACTTTTCTCCAAAGCTGCTGAAGAGTGAAACCAGCTGCTTGGTAAGGTCTCCTGTTGGTCATAGCAAAGACTTGGGATCGAATCCCGCCTGCACTTGGGCTGGGGGGTTATGGGTTGGGGGATAGGCTACCCGCCTCGTTGTGTATCCCTTCAAAAGCAATAAAAAAAAATCAAAATTCTTCCCAATTTTCGTAATATTCCCATAGTGAAGTTGTCTGTGCCCGATGTATTATCTCCTTCCATTTTCATAATTGCCTCCCTTACCTCCTCTTCTCTTCCTTGAATGCCTTTTCTAGCTCTCTTGCATGTTCTTCTGAAATGCCATCCGTTGGAAAGTAGAAGATTGACTCTCTGATTGATTCTCCATAAGTTTAGGTCCATCAGTTTAGGAAACTTAATTTCCTAGAATCATGGGATATCCTAGAATCATGGGATATTAATTGGAGAATCCCACTGATATAGAAATTAGTTTTTTAGGAAAAGTTAGTTTCCTATTTTATCACCTCGTAAATTAGCTCTGTAATTCTATATAAAGTTGTGTATATGCTCCTTCCAATACAATACAATCAATTCATTTTTTCTCTCAAATTTTCACACATCAAACTCAAAACCGTCCATTTTGGGTCTCTATTTCCACTCTTCCATGTATAAGTTAGCATAATACTCCACTTTATGCCTTTTTATCCTATTTTCTTCCTCAACTTCTCACACTCAACCTCTTGATGGAATTTTCCTTTCTAGCACTTGCTGTCCTGCGGAAAAAACTTGGTGTTATTATCTCCTTCTTTAAGACGTAAGCATTTGGACCTTTTCTGCCACTTCAATTCCTCTTGATACGCAACCTTATCAGACTCCAATTTGGCTGCTAATCTTCTTCTCTTTTCCTTTTGTGATATCTGACCCTCCTCTTCTGCTCTATCTATTTCAGCAATAGTATCCAAACATTTCCTTTTTTTTTTTCTGTTCCAACCCTTGAAGAGTACACTCTTCCACTCTTTTATTTATTTCTATATTTCAAAGCCTTCAACTTTTTGCTGAAAATGTGATTGGCTGAACCTTCCACCTGAGTCTCATCCCACCAACTCCTCATTTCATCCATGAAACCTGATTCTTGCAGTCACAAGTTTTCAAATCTGAAAGGAGAATGCTTATATGGAATCCCATTGGGGTAAGGTCTCAAGAGAGATATTTGGGTACCTTTCCTCTGTTTTTGTAGAAACCACAAAGCGGTACAACTTCAGTACTTAAAAACTAGATTGATATTGAAAAGTGCCCTACTTTACCCTTCACTCCAACTGCATCAGCATCTCATATAATAACCATACTACCTGCCGTACCTTCAGCTGGCAATGATTCCCAATCAGTCATGATCCCCACGAATACTTCTATCTTCCATGCACAACCTTCATTCACCCCACAACCCATCAAAGCCCACCGCCAGATCCCAAGTTAGTAGGACCTCTACCCGTCCCACATGAATGAAAGAGTCTATTAGGGTTCTTTGTGATATTATTCCCCATACATCTTGCTTTATATAGCCCCATAAAAAAAATATCATGGCTGAAAGATAAAACAAACAGTCGATGGAAGTTTCTTGGGGACCATGTTCCCAAAAAGTTCTAGTCAGAACCTATTTCCAACTGTAAATATTCCTATTCAAAATTCCTTCTTGTGTCTTGAATCTCAAAATTCCTATTAAGGTTTTATCTAGTCAAGTCCTTGTAAATATTCCTCCAAATGCCTTGAATTTACTTGTGTTCAAACTTCAGATCCTTTTTTTTGTAAATTGTTTTATTAGATCAAGGAGAATTACAAGTACAAGCGTCCCATGGAGAGGCTTGAGCTCTGACCTCTCCAAACAAAACATAAAACAAAATCAAACTACAAATGTGCCCAATACAATTGTTCCCTACTTGCCCCTTGCTTCGCAAGATTATCAGCCATAGCATTTGCTGATCTCCCCACCCATTGTATTCTTACAAACAAACTTCTTGTCAGCTACTTTTGATCCCGATTGTACAAGGCTTAATACTAGGTCTGGCTGTTGTATCTTTCTTGGCTATTCATCATTTCAAAAAGGTTATAAAGTCCATTACCAGATATTTGGGAAAAATTTTTATATGGTTATGTGACATTTTAGGAGTCAATGCCTTTTTTCCCATCTCTAAGGGATGGTACATATGAAATGCAGCTGTGCTATTTTCCCCTCCATATGTCAGTCATTACCTCTGATCTTTTTCTTGTTGTTGTCCTTCCCCAGCCTGGGTCTAAATTGCAAGCAGGAATAGTTGAAGTGCAGAAAGATTTTCAAGTATGCACTAGAAGGAAAGGTTATGGTTGTTGCAGTAGGGACTTTTTTGATATAGGTAATATCCATACTCTTGAAGCTATTCCTATCTTCATTTGTCCATTACAGGCCTAAAAGAAATGTGCATTTGTACTATGCATCCTATTTCTTTACTTCTTACAATATTTTGCTTACTTCATATCATGTATTTGTTACTGCTTTGTCGGTGTTTCTATTCGTTTTAGTGTAGAAGTTGTAAATCTTCCAACATAGGAGGTCATGGTTGAAGAGAGGAATACTGATAAAAAGAAGGTTGAAGAGAGTAAAGCCTTTATCAAGTAATGGTATTTGGGTGGGTTATTTATCAAAAAAAAAAATGGTGCTTGGGGTGTGGTTGATCTCCCTGTAGAGAAGAAACTAGTGAGTTGCTGGTTGGTATTCATCATCAAATAAAAAGTAGACAGCTTGGTTGAAATGTACTAGGCCATGTTGGTTTTTAAGGGGTTCACCATCAAATGTATGGGCTGGATCAATTGCACCACTAAATATTCAGTTGACTAATGGGCCAAAATGACTGGTCATCACTTCACTAAATATTCAGTGATAACATTGCTTTGTTGGGTGTTAGATCTTGTATTCTCATTATTATTTGTTTAATGGTAATTAATGCTTATCCCTTCTACTTTCTTGGGATGTGCATTGATTTCCTGTTTCTTATCTGGCTTCATACCGGCCCTTCATGCTTCACTCATTAATCCATGTGGATAAGGATGCAACTGGTTGGCTTGGTACGGTTCGTCACATAGTACCAAGGTTCAAAGTATCGATAACCCCGATATGGCGGAAGGGTGTATCGGTACTTTGTACCATGTGCATATCGATTTTTTTTTTAGTTTTTTTTTTCAAAAAGTAGGGAGGGGGTAGGTTTAAGCATTATTTTACATTTAAAACAGTGCGTTTTGGGATTTGACTTCAGAAAGCCAATACAGTATGCCCGACACCAGGTGTATAGCCAACTAAGGTTATATTTACAAATGTTTCAAAGGCTCAGTTTGGAAGGAGTACAAATACACATATGTAGAGCGCAAAACTTTGTATTTTGTATGGGTTAGGTTTGGTGTGGATCTGCTTCAACTCAAGCTAGGACCTGTTTAAGGCTAGCTTGACAAGATTGGGTTAATGTGGGTTTACAACTTAGACCAGTCCATTGACTTCCCTAAATGTGGACACCTCCATTTTGATTTGGTGGGGTGTTTGTCTACATAGACAATTACAAAGTGAAAAACTTGTGAGCCCTCTGCTTTCTTGTGACAATTACAAAGTTCACATTTTCTTCATGGTCGATAAAAGGTTTCATCGTTCTCCTACATTATGTGCCTGTCCATGTCAAAGGCCAGAAGAAATTTATTAATGCTTACTGTTACCTTGTTACTTTTTTAGACATGTGATTCAATTCGGTTGAGATGTTGGTGCTGCCAAATGACCCCCATGTAGAATCATCTGTTTCGTTCTTGAAATATAATTTCTTGTATTGATATGATTCAGTTTATGATGTTAACAGGTTTATGGGATCATTGTTTGCTCCCTTGGTTCGAGTTTTGAGAGCGGCCACCTTGTGCAAAAGTGCCAAAAGAGTAGTTATGTATCCAGTACATCCTGCCCAACACCCTGGATGGCAAGGACAATGTTGGATCACAATGGCCCTTTTATTAATGTTCAGAAGAAATCATACTGAACTAAAAGATTTTGTATTTTGGTAAGCGTTTCTGTAGCTGCTATTCTTTCTATATGCTGTTTTCTGGCCTCAATTAACTTGCATGTAGCCCACTAGCACTGACTCGCACTTAGCATTTATGGTTAGTGTGGGGTGTTGCCATTAGTTCCATAGCTAGCTACACAGCCGTCACATTCAGCTAATCTAAATTACTTCAAGTGACTAATAATACCAGTCCATTATGTTTTAACAAACTGTATGAAAAGTCGGATTCAACTTTGATACTGGAAAGACGTGATATTGGAAAAAACTTACAGCGAACCAACTAGTACCAGGTGATATTAATCAAAATTAACGGGGTTGATTTGATTGGTCAAAGCTTTTCCGGTATGGTATCATAAATTTTCCCATGAAGTAGTCTTTTATGCTCGCTGAATTGAAAACTCTCTTGGGAAGTTGGAATTTCTTGTTTTGGGACCCTCTCCCTTTTAATTGCCATCCCATGTCCGTCAGCAAGCTTAATCTATTCTCTGGTGAGCAAGGTTCAAAGTATCGACACGTATCGGGCCCGGATATGCCCTCACAGAGGATGTATCTGAGTTCTGACAGGTTCAAGGGGTGGAGCCTTAAACCGCCCCTTGAACCGGTTTAAAAAAAAAGACCGATACTGCGCGATACTTTCTGGTGAGAAGCCACTGGTGGAAAGGTGGCAACGAAATCATCTATGAGATGAATTTCTCAACTTGTCTACGTGCTTCAATGAGGTCACGTCTACGTGCTTCAATGAGGTCACACTCCCTTGAAGTATGACTGGTGACAAGTATAACCTAAACATCGAATTTGCATGGATGGTGTATGTGTATCCATGATACTTCATTTCTCAACCACGTTCGCAGCAAGCTTCAATGAAGCGAATTCCCCACCCCATGTAAGTATATAACCCATTAATGGTATCTCTGCGCGCAGTTGTAATTTCTCTGGTTTATTGTATTAGAGTTTGGGGCTAGAGGGGTTATGGGGATAACTGGATACGTCATCTATATCTATATATGGTAAAACTTAATGTGCTAGCTAAGTTGGCACTTTCATGCTTTTTGGTTGTTTTTTGAAAGGAATTTTTCTTTTTTGAATTTTTTAATTTTAAAATTGAACAAAATAACTCAAATGGCAATCACGTTTAAGATTTTTATCTCCCTTTGTTAATTCACTATAAACTCTTTCTTTCTCATTAAGTCCTTTAACTATCTCTCTTCATTAATTATGTAATTAACTCTTTCCTTCAATAGCTCATGCCATTAATTCTTTCTCCTCTCCATTATTCCACTAAGTCATTAGCTTTAGATATGTTTACATTAAATTATAATTATTAATAAAATTTAATTATATTGAAGTGGAGATGATGATATTTATTAGGCTAAATAATTCATTTTCATTTAAATAATAGTTAATTAATCAATTAATTTATATTTCAAAATAAATGTTATTTCACTCAACAAATAAAACTAACGTTTTAAAAACAAATTTGGTGGATAAATAGTTTTTGCCTATAGGTCACTAGTCAATGATTGCATATGTATAATATTAAATAATATAATTATGTTTTAGTGTGTATATATTATTTTAGGTATAATTTGTACTTTTGTTTTAGTTTTTTTTTTATATAAATAAAAGAGCTGAAAATTGAATTTTGAGGTCCCTTTTTTTTTAGTGGGATTGCGAAGATTGCAATGAGTTACTTAAAACAAAAAGGGTAAATTGGTGAGATCTTCCCTGAAGTTTTTGATTGTTGTTAAAACCTTCCTTGAAGTTTGATAATTGCAATCACCTCCCTTGAAGTTTTTGACATAATTGCAATTAGATCCCCCTAGTTAAAATCTTTTAACAAGATGAAAATGTCTAAAATACTCATGTAGTTATTATCGAGGTTAGTTTTTATAGAAAAAATATAAATTTTATGAGCAACAAAAAAAGAAGGGTTTAAAGTTGTAGCCTTATTTTTGAGCGATTGATACAAGGGGAAAATTTGGAAATACATCAATTTTGGAAAAGAGATCGGAATGGTTTGGGGTGGAAATTGATATGAAGAGAATTAGGAAAATAAAAATTTTGGTCAAAAGTAACTATATGGGTATTTTGGACATTTTATGTCCCTTCAAACTTCAAGGAAGGTTTAAGTGGAGATGGCAATTTGACTTGTCCTCATGGGGCTTTGCCCTTCCTTACCTCAGTTTGGGTGATTTTTAGACTATTGGTCAGGGTTTAGGGTGGGTTTTGGGGAAGCTTGAAACTCTGGGGGATTGGGGACAAGGTAGGGATGGTATTTGCCCACCCTGCCCTGACCTTGGCCTCGAACTTTGGGGTTGCGGACGGGACATGCAAAACCTGGCCCTGACCTGCCTCATTGCTATTCCTAGGTTTAAGCAGCCATTAGAAACTTTAGGGGATGTTTTAGTAATTTACCAAAATAAAAAAAAGATCACCGTAATCAAACAACCAAGCACAAATTTAAGTCATTCTAGAAGTTTTCAATACATTGTATATTGTAACCTATGATCCAATGATTAGGTCAAAATCGAAAGGGTCAATGGTTCAACATCAACTAACAGAGGTAGAACTACTTTTAACCAAATCAATGGTTTTTGACAAAATATGGGTTTTAGGAAACCTGAAATTAGAAATAGGGCTAAGTGACAGTTTAAATGGTTCAACCATTCGAGTCATAGACAAGTTGAAAGCATTGAATAAAATATCATAAGAATAATAATCCATTTATGTTCCATTTAAGATAATTAAAATTAGGGAAAATTCCTGATCAATACCCTGTACTTTGGCTCGAGTGACAATTTGGTCCCCGAACTTTAAAATGCGACAATCTAGTACCCGAAGTTCTGAAATGCGACAATTTAGTACTTGTTGTTAACCAGCCGTTAAGTAGCATGTGAAAAGACACAAATGCCCTTCAAGTGTCATCTAATTTTCTTTATCAACCATCCACTAAAGTCAGAACCAAACGTCAAATTTTTCATCCTTGTGACAACACTTTTGTCTTTCTTCTCCTATGAATATTCCGTCATCTTTGGACCAAAACCAAAGCAAATTCTGAGAGAAAAAAATTCCTTTAACTACTGTAATTATCTTATTCGAAAAACAGAAAAAGAGAAAGTCTTCGGCCACCATCAATGATCTCTCTCTCTCTCTCAAGTATCAAAACAAAGCTTCCAGTTCTTCTCCTCTCTTTTACATGTAAGAATAAAATATTACTGTGTTAAGTTAAAAAAAGAAAAATAAGTTGTATAAAGCCTGGAGTTTCTGTTCTTGGCAAAGAATTGCAACAACTTTGAGAGAAAGGCAAAGTCATTGCAAGTGTTTGTGATAGAGAGCTTGGGCTCTGTTTCATCTTCTTGAGGAAGAAGATGATGAATAGTGTGTTTTACTTCCAAGGGTAGTTTTGACATTTTCAAAAGTCTTAAATCACACACGAGGTCATGTGATATACATAACTAACGGTCTATTAACGACATGTACTAGATTGTCGCGTTCCGAAAGTTTAGGTACTAGATTGTCGCATTTTAAAGTTCATGGACCAAATTGTCACTCGAGCCAATGTACAGGGTACTGATTGGGAATTCTCCCTTAAAATTAATTAACCATAGAAAAATGATTTAGTAAACTACTTAAATAAAATAAAAATAATAATGAATTTTTATTATTGATAAAATATTTTTATTTATATAATAAAAATAAATTAATTAATAAAAAGTACTAAATTTAAAACTTATATTCATTTAAACTAATATAAAACTAATACAAAACTATCTAACAATTATTAGTTTTATAATTAATTTTTACTAATTTAAAACCAACTTAAATTCCACTATAACTAAATACTTAATATAATTAATTAAATTTAATAAGGATTAATAAAAACAAAAAATAAGAAAAAATTGTTAATTTTAACTATAGTTTAGTTAATTTAAATAATTTTATTTCCATTTAAAAATAGGGAAAATTATGAAAACCTTCTTGAGTTTTCTAATGATCTTATGAGCCTCCCTTGTGTTTTGACCTTAACAAAAACCTCCCTATTGTTTAGAAAAAAAGGTGCGAATACCTTCCTTTGTTAATGTTCCAAATAGGAAATGCTGATGTAATGTATTATTGTTTTAAAATGCCAAACTTACCCTTAACCAACTTCATTCATATGCAATTTTAATAAAATACCTTGGAAAAAAAAGAATTTGCTTCCATTTACTTCATTTCAGCCTTTTAACCATACTTTGTCTAAGAAGACTAGAGAGATTTACACTTTGAAAGTTGTTAGGCAAAGTGTGCACGATAATACCTTAACAATGATAAGGATATTTTGGTAACTTAAATGCCTTTATTAGTGAAAAGCTAACAGAAAGAAGGTATTTTCACTTTTAAAACTATAAGGGAGGTTTTTGTTAGGGCCAAAATATAATGGTGGTTTATAGAATTGTTATAAGAGGATTTTTTTTTTTATAATTTTACCTATAAAAGAATATAACAAACTAATAAAATTTAAAAATTAATAAAAAAGTGGCATTGAAATACAAAAAATAATACAAATTTATCTAGAGCATAGGAAATTGGGCACTCTCACTAAAGCACAACTTGGATTGTGATCGGATAAACTAGACATAACCCAAAAATAATGCTTGAATTGGACTTATATGGCCACCACATAATTGGAAGTGTCGTAGAATTCATTCATCATTTTTGTTTGGTAAAGCTAGGGATGGCAATTTGCCCTGTCCTTGTCAGATAACCGGCTTTCTCAACCTAATGGGGTTAGGAATGAAAATTGCCTTGGCATAGACGGGGACTGTTAGTGATATCCGATTGGGGATGGGGATGGGGTGGGGAGTGAATTCCCAACCTTTCCCCAACCCCAATGCATTTTGGGGTTGGAGATGGGGAATATGATCCCCTCCCCGAAACTGCCATGTTGCCAGCCCGTACGTTGCAAGGGTCCCAATTAATACACATTGAATTTGCATTGATACAATAAAAAAAATCAGGATATGCATAGATGTATTAGAGAAGGAAAATTTATCAGACTCGAAAGACATGGTACGAAAGGTATTTGCATGAATCATACGTCATCATCGCTGGTGAACGCTGCCTCCCCCACCACCACCTCCTCCCCA